CACAAAACTGCTTTATATAATTTTATCTGTAGGCAGTTTTTATCACCTCATGAGAAGAGAAGACTCCCTGGAAAAGATCCTGATGTTGGGAAAGATTGAGGGCACAAGGAGAAGGGGATGACAGAGGATGAGATGGTTGGACAGTGTTCTCGAAGCTACCAGCATGAGTTTGACCAAACTGCAGGAGGCAGTGGAAGACAGGAGTGCCTGGTGTGCTCTGGTCCATGGGGTCACGAAGAGTCAGACACGACTAAACGACTAAACAACAACAACAACAACAACAGGCAGTTTTTATACACAATGGTGAATATGGACATGTACCAGGCACGTCCAACTCTCTAGAGACTGCGATCTACACCCAGTATAATATGACTGGCAGTGATCTATCCATTTTCATTGCCCAGAGTTCTTGAGCTTTCACAGCAGTCTTTAACATCAGCAGTAACATCTAGACCATGGGAGCGTTTCAGCCCTGTTCTTGAGTTTGTTTGAAATCTAAAACAGCTTATCTTGTATTCCTTTCTTTGAATTTGTGCCATTTAGGTTTTTAAACCTTTTTGTAAAAGCAGCACTAGAATTTTCATAGTTGAGCCCTCAACCCTTTATTATTGTGCTTTGCTTTCTTCAAGTTGGGCTTTGTTTAAAACTTGCTAGTTAGGTTTTCAAACCTTTTTTTTTTGTAAATTCAATATTAGAAACCGTACTTTTGAGTCCTCAATCCTTTATTACTGCGCTTTGCTTTACCTAGGTCAAGCTAGTATTATGATACGTCATAATTTTGGGGGTTCTACCCTTTTTTTTAATTTTGGTCACTTAAAGTTTATGATTTTTCTATTTCCTTCTGAGGAAACTGAATAGTTCAGTGAAACGAGGTTTGTAGCCAGCATCCCATTGAGGCTTTGTTCTATTTTAGGTTTTTCAAATTTTTCTCTTAAGCTTTTTGATTTTTATTATTTAGTTTATTTCCGCAAGATAATATTTCTAGTCGATTACTTCAGGGATTTTCACAGTATTTCATTTGTTTTGTGCAATTTGTATTTCATTTGTTTTGTGTAATTTGATCCAAAATGGCGACGAAGGTAGCGGCTTAGTAAAGGCGTCTGCCTTTAGATTAAGTTTTAAGTAGTTTTAAGTAGCTATTTTAACCCCCTCTGGGTTTTTATTGTTTTATTGTTTTTAGACTAAGTTTCAAGTAGTTTTAAGTAGTCTCTTTTAACCCCTCTGGGCTTTTATTGCTTTATTGTTTTATTACCTGCTTCGTGCTTCAGCCTTGCTGCCTTGCCGCACCCC